GTCCACCACGCTGTGTGCCTCGTCCCCCAGAACACCCCCTCGCTGAATCCACCCAACCCCGCCGCCACCGCCGCCGCCGCCGCCGTCTCTCTGCCCCGCGCCAGGCTCGTCGGAGTCCTCGTCGGGGGCGAGCTCCTGACGGCCATCGGCGCCTGCCTGTTCCTGCGCATCGAGTTCGGGTGGCCGGCGCTGATCTCCCTCTTGGCGAGCCTGCTGGCGCTGCTGATCTCGGTGCGCTGCCACATGCGGCGGGTCGGGGAGAAAACGCTGCACCTGTGCCACGAGTCGGCGACGGGGAACGGCGGCAGGCTGTTCGAGTTCCTGCTCCCCGGGCCGGTGACGCTGACCCGCTTCCTTCTCGCGGTGCCGGTCTGGCCCATGCTCCTCGTTTACTCGGAGGGGGCGTCCTTCTGGCCGTTCAGCATGGCGAGCAGGGGGGACCACTCCCTGCCGCCGTCGGAGGATTCGCTGTGGGCTAACCCTTGGGACTGGTTCAGGGTGAGCGCGAGACCCAAAAAAAATGGAAACGTGCTTACCTTTCTTTTTTTACGATGCATCGCCGGGGCGGGTGCTGCTGCTGCTGCGGAGCGGGTATCGTACCGGGGGTTGTTGGTCTTCTTCTGGCCGTGGTTGTGCTCTGTCGCTCGCCGTTTCTCGACGGATCACTGCTGTCACACGAAGGGTCCGATTTTTTGTTTTTTGTGCGTGCGGGCCATCGGTTTGGTTGTGGCGACCGACCTTCTGGGTTACACCCTCAAGTACTGAAAAACAAAAAATCCTGTCTGTTGTCCCCCCCTGTGCAGGTCGCCGTGCCTTCGCTCTCTCGGTCGGACAACGACAGCCCGCTGAGCTACGTGTACTGGGCGATCGTACCGCACCTGCTGTGGACCCTCGTTTCCGCGGTTTGGGTAGGCCTCCTCGGCGCCGCCAATCTGGTCTGCTGGTACTTCGGGCACGCAGAGGTATGACGTGGCTTATCCTTATAGCACCGCGAAGCGTGGATCTAATAGTACGTCTTTTTCTTGCACGATGCGGAGACGTGGTGTAGCGCTGAGCGTACAAGAACTGAAGACCGCACGCAGCCGGAGCCCTATGGAGGTTTAGCTCAGCGGCAGGACGAGTCCCAATCAGTCTGCTTGCAAGGTGCTGCGATTCTTTCTCTTGGCGAGTACACTCCCATGGATGCCCAGTTTAAGCCCCGACTGCGGCAGCTGCTTCGAGATCGTACGCACCAACGCGCGCGCCAGGGGCACGCTTTGCTCCTCGATGCAAGCCCGTGTTTTCGCAAGCGAGCGTGTCGCCCTCGTTTGCGGCGGGGGCGGGCGGGCCGCGGGGTATTGCTGCGCCTTCTTTGCAAAAGGCTAGGTTCATCGGGGGCAAAAGAATGAACGTAGTAGTCCCGGCGCCGTTGGCGTGGCAAAAAAAGGTGGCGAAAGTTCCCCCCGTGTTCAGGCGAGGTGGCCGAGTTCGTGCGATACAAGCAGTTAGGGCCCGCACTTACCAACTTGGCGGAGGGGAAATTGATACAGACTCGAAAAACTGTGAAGTATCTAAGGATGTGAGCAACTTTGGTGAGCTCGGATAAGAACCCCTACACTAGCTAATCTACAGCAGTAGTCTATTCCGCGGCCAATCGTTGCACAATCCTGAAAAGGAACTATATAAGAACCCGCAGGCCCGGCCACAACCAGAGGTGATTCCGCTGGCTCTTCGGGATCGGGGCCCCAATTGCCAGAGCACGTCCGTCCGCCCCTGTCTCCCCCCGAAAAAATACCCGTGCAAACCAAACCGCAGGACTGGTCGGCGCACTCGTGGGGCGTGTACTTCTCGAGCCAGGAGTCACCCTTCAGCGTCTGGTCGGCCCGGCTGCAGTCGGCGCTGGGGATGGGCTTCACCGCGTGGGCCGCCAGGGAGTTCCGACGGCTGCTGGCTTTCTCGGCGGCGCTGGCGGCGGTGGTGGTCCAGGGGTACCGGCGGGGCGCCTGCCTGGAGCAGGAGTGGGCGTTCGTGTTCGCCGTGGCCGCGTGGTGGATCGCCGTGCTCATCGGCCACGCCGCCCGGAAGAAGAACATGTTCAAGCCGCTCAACGAGGCCGCCGGCCCCGCCGTGGCGGACCGCTGGTGACGGGCGAGGAGGCGTGTTTTTGAGGGGCTGGCGGCGGCGGCATCTGCGGGGGCGGAGGCCAGCCGGTAGTCCGGGGGGGGCGG